ATGAGATATAGTGCTTCAACATTATCTGAAAGTTAGTCTGGTGTTCTCGCGAACGCTTGTAAAATAGATTGATTATTTTGAGGTTATTTTGCCGCAAACAACCGCTAATTGACCCCAGGGTCAGTTGACACGTGCCCGTCACCTTAGTTTTATGCATCGATTTGAGCTCGTTAAAAGGGCGAAACTAACAAGATTCTTTTAATATGTACCTGTTTTAATGAAATACACGCAAAAGGAGAGGCCGTTCAATGGGTAATTTCTGTTCTTGAGATCTTGTAGATTGTACCATGATTCTACCATGGCGTCTGCGAGTGGACCTGAGTCTAGGTCTGTTTTCCAGTGACTGCGAAATCAGAATAACATCAAGAAATAATTCTCCCTCGAATCTTCGTAAGTGAATCAGCTTTGCAGTGCCTTACCTGAGATAAAAAGTGGGCCGAATAGCAAAACAATTCTAGCGCAATTTAGATCCTTTGTGGAACGCAGTGTATTGCTGAGCGAAAGGTGAGTAAACAAACGTAGGAAAGTACGTTACCTTTGATTGCATGACCAGCCAGTAAACGATAGTCTCCAGCGAAAAATAGGATTCGCAAAAATCTTGCTGATGTATATTTAACAGTTTGTTACTATAAATTTACACCTGGTTTGTCTAAAACTTTAAACAATGCATATCTGTCCAAGAGTATAAGAATGTTTCGAAAGATCCACCCCTAAATAACTGTGGGCTACTCCTTTTTCCCCATCACCGATGTGCACTTCCTTCCCACTGTCTTTTGCATGAGGCTTGTATGCCTTTTTAACTGTTATCGACACTTAAAACTGGCCGTTTAAGGCCTGGTTTAAGAACTTGACTGACTTAAAAACCGTCATGACATGCGCCATTATTGTTGGACTTTGGAAGCTTTAAGCCCAAAATGATGGTGCAATCTCAAGAAATTTGCCCGGGTCTAATTTTAAGACAGGGAACGGGTACTAAGAAAGGGACGGTCTCATTTAGCAACCCGTGGACAATCTGGGCATGCTTGCCTTCTGTCGCAGGGGCAACCTTTAAGGCCAGGTACGCCGCCCCCACCCTAGAGGATTGCATGGCATCCACCATTTCAGTCGCTTTTTTTACATCATGACCTTCAATTATTATGAATTATAATGCGGGCCTTGATCGTTGCCACCTTACCAGAAGTCTAATCTTCGCACTGTTAGACCATGAGAATCTCTATTATTATTCCATAAATGCACCATTTGACTTTTCCTTGCTCAGCTTCCGTAAACCGACACTCCGAGCAAAAATAGCTTTACAACGACTCTATCCAGGCCAGAACTCCTGATATCAACAAATATACCCCCCTCTAAAGAGAGCAAACGTTCCCCGAACTATTCACTTGACCCACCCCATCCCTTCGTTAAGAAAAACTAAGCACTCAGTTCACTGGACAAAACGCGCTCGTGAATATACCAAACTATAGCCGTTCATCCTACAAGCAATCTCAGTTTCAGCAAGCTTGGCCACGTTTCCAGTTGCTGTAAGATTAATTGGACACCTGCAACAGACACTGTAAATTAAATAGAGTGTTTTCACTCACGTGGCCAGCATCTATGCGAATTTATTGGAACAAAAGAAAGCGTTTGCATAAGAAAGGAGTTCAACTCCTACAGGATTGGTTTGGGACACCAACATGGCCGCCGTTTCATTGTTTTGGGACACCAATATGGCCGCCGTGATGTCATGTGAAAACACTCTATGCCTTGAAACTGTCAGGACGAGAAAGATTATAAAAGACTTAACAGGTGTGCGCGGCGGTTTCCTTTTCTTCCTTTCCTCCCATTGTAGCACTCAAATTCTGACCCTGATATTAATTCTAGTAGTAATTAATCGTTCCTGAGCCGATAGGCACAAGGATACCAGTTTCTTGCAAAATATGCTGTGACATCCGTTTGCTCATCCCCTTTTCTGCCTTCGCCGCTGATCAGGTTTGGTTCTGTGCTTTGAAATAACTTTAGGAACGAACATGATACGTGAGGGGGGCGTGTCCGGCTAAGGGCAAGTGACTCTCGGTGGTGAAGACATATACTGAGCTTGTCAGTATTTCGTAGCCTGTACCACGTCGCGAAAATAGAACAAGCCAAAGAAAAATAAGACGCCTTTCTTTCCCCAGCCCACGCAGGTTTTCGCATTACTTTTTACTGCACAACTGATTCTACCTTTTCGAGCCGGAGCGAACATGGACGCCCTCCACTTCATTTTCGGCACCTGACTAAACGCAAGCGCTGACTTGTGCGCCTATGCCTCGTTTGCACTGAAGTAGCAGTATATGACCACGACAGACTTGCTGCTATCCTTGGTTTGAAACCGCAATGGGCAAGAACAATTTCTTGAAAAGAGCAAACTATTTCCTCCTTAGCAGACATGGAGAACAACTACTAGGACTTAAGCAATGTCATTGCTTAAGTCCTACTAGACTTGAAAAGAGAAAGCATGATGCTTTCTCTTTTTTATGATTTACGGCTAAACAGTACAATTTCATGTAGCTTTTACGCAAAATTAAATACTTAGTTGTTTGCACAATTGCATTTAACAACAAATTACAGAAATTTAACTAAGTTAAGATCTCATAGATAAGAATTGAACGGAAAAAACTTTTGGGGTAAAAAAGTAAAAATATGTTTGCTGGAAAATCACTTAATGGACATATATACAATAGCAGAGATATCATGCCTGTAATTTTCCGTTCAATGCACCTTATGAGAAGTCTGACTAATCCACTGGTAACCCATGCCTTAAAACCGCCTTGAACCTTAAAATTTAATCCATTTGCCTTTCATGCGTAGTGCAAATATATCTTCTAAACACTCCGGGGTGGGGGGAAAATCAGAAGAACAGAACATTCAGTTACTGTACCATTTTTAAAAGTGGGACAGTATGTTTGCTAATCATCTTAGTTAACCGCTTTTAAAATAGGACAAAAGGACACCTGGTCATACAGGAAAATGAATTTACTGTATCCCAAAAGCTTTGGGTGCACTTATTTTTCGCAGGAGACAATCGATAAATTCCTGGTCACGCAATCGGAGGTCAGTAACTAATTAAAAGTCACTGATACCATCGCCGCTAGCACATACACTACGTGCTGCAAAGGATCCAAATTGCGCTAGAATGTTTTCCTATTCGCCCACTTTTTATCTCAGGTAAGGCACTGCAAAGCGGATTCATTTACGAAGGTTCGAGCGAGAATTATTTCATGATGTTATTCTGATTTCGCAGTCACGGAAAACAGACCTAGACTCAGGTCCACTACTTGAGACGCCATGGTACAATCTACAAGATCTCAAGAACAGACATTACCCACTGAACTGCCTCTCCTTTTGAAGATTGCGTGTATTTCATTAAAACAGGTACATATTAAAAAAAATCTTGTTAGTTTCTCCCTTTTAACGAGCTCAAATCGATGCATAAAACTAAGGTGACGTGCACGTGTCAACTGACC